CAGCCGAGCCTGAGGGGATTGGGGGAAGGACGCGGGGAGGAGGGGGCGGTCGAAGGGGGCGGAGACGACGAGAAGTCGCCGCGGCAACGGCGTCACGCGAGTGTCACGGTCGTGACGTCACCCGATACCGTGACGTCATCCTTGGAGCGCCCTCTCGCCATCGTGTTGTGTGTGTGGGTACTTTCCCCTCATCCCTCCCGTGCGTTTGCACTTTTCCTGGGCTCTATGGTTTTCATGGCTCCGATTTCCGACTTTGTTCTGATCTCCTCGGTCTTCAGCCTGTTCTACAATGTAGGATTTACTAGAAGCGTAGAGATGGTGTTTGAGAAATTGAAATCCCAAAGGGAGGAAGGCGGGGGAAATCCTATCACTTGTTATTTCCATTACAGCGCGGAACAGCTAATTGTCAGTATGGTGCCTGCACCCTTCCCTTGAAGGACCTGTTAAAATGAGTCCAAATAGAAGCGGGGCGTGGTGGCGCAATCTTGTAATCTCAGCACTGGAAAGGCTGAGGCAGGAGGATCTACACAAGTTTGAGGCCACGCTGGGCCATATAGTGAGTTCAAAGCCATCCTGGACTACATATCTAAACGCTCTTCCTCTCATCTTTGTGGAAAAAAGAATGTTTTCTTTGGTGTATTAATCCTCTTTTTGGATTTATTTAACAAATATTGGAATTTAGCTCAGTGGTGCTGTCGCCTGCCTTTCAAGAGCAAGGACCCATGTTCGATCCCCGGTACCAAAAAAAGACAAGAACGCATATCAATCGAGTGCTTTCGTGTACTACGGTGCATGCAAAGCACATAATATTCTAGACATCCAAAGCATCAAAACTAGTCATTTTTATTTTGAAGAAAATCAGTGGAAATAAGTATTTCCAGCTTTTGTGAACAGAATATTCCAAGGCATTCTTAGCAAACTGTGTACAAAACAACCACCTTAGGAGATGTGTATTCTCTTTGAGGTGCGTACTTACAGAATGGAGTTTAAAATATAAAAATACATTGTTAAAAATGCATTAAAAGAAAGGGCAAATAATCAGAAAATTTTAAGGGAGAAACAGTGAGAAACACAGTAGCAGTTACTGATAATATGCAATTAATTGTTGAAGTGACCTGAATGTGAAGTCATGAAAGCTTGAGTGGTCTCTGCCTTTTTGTGCTTTCCTTAGGGGGTGGAGATTGTCATCAGTTTCCACCTTATTATTTAGGATGCTTGGAGAGAGAGAAAACTGACCTTCTGATTTCTGAAGGAATACCTCATTCGATCTGGTCACCATGAGCCTGAGGGCTGATGCTAAGGGGTAGATAGAGTTGTGTATGTGGCTGCTTGATGTATCCAATACTAATTCCTACCTTTAAAAATACCACCTATCAAATGAGCATTGTATGCTTTGTCAATTTCGTTGTATGTTCTTTTCCAAGTAGGAAAGTTTTCTTGAGGAACAAAATTTAAATCAGAAGGTACTTTGCCAAATAATGCAATAAATGAAAATAATGCTAGGGATGATGTCATGGAGCTGGGCTAGTCTGGAGCACCCTTCTTAAACACGATGTTTTTCAGCAGACTGAAGTAGCACCATCAACCAGCCAACCTTTTCCGTTGCCATTATCAGAAACAATTGGCAGGTGTTTTTGTCTGTTGTTTTTATTTTATTCTCTAAGTGTCCTATTTCACTTTTTAAAAATTAGCCCCTGAAAGATATCATTATAACATGAAAATTTCTTAGTTTTCCCCCATTGGTTCCATTTTAAATGGTAGGCTTATTTATCAGCATCAACATAGAGTGACAGGTCTATGACAGGGGACCTGAAGATAGGTCCCCACTAAGGACTGAACCTCAAGCCTTTGTACCAAGTTGCATCCCAACCCTCACCTTTTTTTTTTTTTTTGAGACAGGGTCTTACTAAATCAGTGTTACCCAGACTATGCTCAAACTTTTTCATCTCCTGCATCAGCTGCCTAGAGTGCTAGAGGATTATAGCACCCCAATAATATCTTACAGGATTACTTTTCTGCTGGTGGCTGAACTATCTATTTAATACTAATTCTTGTTAGTTTCCATTCATTCAATGTCTTCTCATCCTATTTTCAAGCTGTGAATATTCTTATTTTCATAGGCCATCCTACAGTGCCATCATAGAAGAAACAACAAAGAAATAATCTTTGGAGTCTGAAATAAAGATTTTACTGTCAATGAGCTACTGTTTGGTTATATAATCTGAACACAGGTAAGCTAAAATTCTTGTTTATTGCTTTGCATTTTAATCTAGAAAATGAGCATTGTAGTAATGTCAGTCTAAGCTAACTTGTGAGGCTCAAACATTTTAGTTTTGCTCTTGACAAAATGTAAGGTTACTCTCTCAGTCACAATTCAGATAAGGCATAGCAAAGATGGGTTATCTGGACTTCATGTCTGGGAGTTTAGCTGAGGCAAACTCAGTACCTGGGGAGGTCTCAGTAGTTGGGGACTGCAATACTCTGGAGGACATTTTACTTACATGACTAGTGGTTGGAACTGTGACCTCAGCTGAGTCAGTCATCCAATCAGCCTCAATGTATGTTCTCCATGTGGTCTGCGTGTCCTTCTAAGTGACGGCCCTGGTATTCAGATTTCTTCCAAGGCAGCTAAGGGCTTCAAATGCTAGTGTCCCAGTAAGCAAGGTAAAAGCTGCATTGTGTGCTATGATCCAGCCTCCAAAGTCACATAGGGTCAATTCTGCTACATTTTATTGGACACAGAGAAGTCACTAAGCCTCAAATTTCAAAATGAGGATAGATCTACTTTCAATGGAAGAAGTGAAGCCACATACACAACTCTATCTACCCCTTAGCATCAGCCCTCAGGCTCATGGTGACCAGATCGAATGAGCATGTTTTAAAACCACTATAGGTGGGCTTGGGACTTAGCTCAGTGGCACCGCACCTGCCTTGCAAGGGCAAAGTCCTGAGTTCAATCCTGGGTACTGCAAAAACAAAACAGAACAACAACAACAACAACAACAACAAAAACCCAACACTAAAGGTCTTATTCTGCGTAATGAACTGGCTACTCTGTAGAACTGACCACTTACCCTTATCTGATTCCAGGGAGATGTAGACCCAGTCATTCCCTTCCCTTTATTACTCAGATTCACCAATATGTACCTCAGTGCGCTCATGAACAAGACTTTATCTACTTGTTTCCAGCTTTTGGAGTGTCCACTGCATGCAAAAATGTGTGGGGGTTCCTTATCATTGCATAAGGCCTGTCTTTTCCTGGGTACTCCCCCCGCCCCCCAGGCTCAATGCTACAATAGACATTTTTGATGTCCTGAAGCTCTCTACTCCAAAAAGTGTTCCTGGAACCTGTATTGAGCCAAGCCAGATTGCGGTCTGAGCAGAAACAGAGTGAACCCCTCCCTTTGAAGTTGGAAAGCAACTCTAGGTGACCCTTAGACATTTAGAAGCAATTTTCAGCTAACTGAAATACTGTGAGAAGCTTTCCTGCTATGTCTGAACCTTTCTTCCTTGAAGATGAGTTTGTTTCCAGCCAGCATTTCTGTCTTAAATCCTGCATTCTGATAGACATTGGGTACTCCCATCAGTCAGCCAGACCTGCCCAGCCAGGTATGATTCCACACCAATATTGTCCACACCTGAAAGACAAGTAAACAGTCTCTTATAAGGTTTTTGGCTCCAGCTAGGTTCAGTGATGTGTAGCTGATTCCAGTTTAATGTTTTCCTCATGAATCAAAGTCATTTTATGAATAACACATCCAGTATTGTTTAATAGAAGGTTATTCTCAGAAACTATTTAGGTGTGAATGAAAAATAGAATCATGAGTTTGATTCAGCCCAACCTTCCCATTGATAGGCACTTGGAAACCCCTTGTGGAATTCAATTTTTTGTCCAAATACTTTAATTATGGGGCAGGATCTCACGAATATAGTAAGTACGTTCCACTCACATTTCCCAGACTAATGTTTGCCCTTGAAAGACCTTGCTTCTAGACTCATGAAATTTATTAGGATATTATATTCCTAACATTTAACAATGGATATTTACATCTGAATGTTATTTTACCTTATAACATCTTGTTTTTACTACTCTTGGGTGTGTTAATAGGTACAGAGTTCTTTGAAATATTCTTTGTGAATTTGTTATTTTTCAGTGTTAAAGTTCTTTTTTCAGTGTTAAAGTTTTTAAGTTCACAAGTTTTTATTGCAAGGTGCAAAAAAACTGTATACATTATGTTACCTTTTGGCAAAAAATAAGGGGAAACTATATAAAATTTTAGAGCATTCCCCTCAATCTGTGATTTTTCTTTCCATGGTTTCAGTTACCTATGATCATCTGTGATCTGAAAATGTTAAATGGAAAGTTTTGGAGATAAATTTATAAGGTTTCAGATGCATGCCATTGAATAGAGTGATGAAATCTTGCACCATAGCACTCCATCCTACCTAGGATGTAAATCATCCCTTTGGCCAGTGTATCCACACTATGTATGCTACCTACCTATTAGTCATAACTATTAGTAGCCATCTCAGATAGTAGATCAGTTGTCATGGTGTCCCAGTGCTTGAGGTCAAGTAATCCTTACTGTATTTATAACGTCCCCAGAGCACACCACTAATGAAACTGGCAAGTTAATTACAGTATATTGCTAATAATTGTTCACTTTGTTATTAGTTATTTTTGTTCACATCTTACTGGGCCTAGTGTGTAAATAAAATCCAATCATTGGTGTGTATGTAGAGGAAAATAGAACACATAAAGTTCAGCACTATGTGTGGTTTCAGGCGTCCACTAGGAGCCTTGAAATGTCTCCCCATGAATCGGGGAACTACTCTGAATGTGTATGTGAATGATAATGAGAATGATAATGAGAACAGAAAGATAGAGGGGGATAAACTGGAAGTGTGACTTCTCTTAATCTATTTTTTAATATTATGAGACAAATAAAAATGTAGAATCTAAATAAATGAACCTACTTACATAGCAAATTGATGAGATAATTGTGCAAAGAAAATGATGACTTCCAGTATCTTTTGAATGTAGTTCTTTGACTGTAGTTTTACACCATCAAATTAGCTCAACTGCAGAGGCCTCCCAGAATTCCTTTCCATCCTATAATACCTACTCAGCCACTCCTTAAATAGATTCCCTGGGAGGATCCAGGGCAAACTCCCTTCGCCAAGGCTGTAAGAAATATATTTGGGAGGCAATTCTAAGAGACCCATGTTGGTTTTCCTCTGCAAGCCAGAAATGACAATGTGAACTGCAGCTATTCAGTGGGAGATGCATCTCATTCTGTGGCACAGGTATACCAGCTTCTCCTGTGGGACTGTTTGTTACAGAAGCTGGGATAGGAGTCAGACGCAGCGAGAGTCTGACTAGAGTCCCTCCCTAGAGATTCCAGCTCAACCTCACAAATTTCACTTTATGTTACTTCTCCCACTTTGCATCCATCTTTCCTTCTTCTATCTGATCTGAGGATTTTAGATTCCAGCAGCAGAAACAAAAACACCAGCTTCATATAATTTGTTCAGACAATTCCACAGTTGCATAGTATTAAGTCCCTATAACAGATCCCTTTTTGTTTACATTTCCTAGTGCTTCTGCTTCTGAGTACTAAGCAGAATATGTTCTAAGTAACAAAAAACGCTAGAAGTAAATATTTATTGTGGGATAGAGAAAAACAAGAACATATACTGACATTAAGAATCTGGGTTTTGCTGTAAGATAAATGGAAAACAAGTAGGGAACAAGGGAAGTTGAAGAAGAACTCTGTGGTGTTGGATTTAGATTTTAAAATTTGAGGTAGCAGCATGAACATAGGAGAGTGTGTGTGTGTGTGTGTGTGTATGTGTGTGTGTGTGCGTGCGTGTGCGCGCTTAGCTCTGCTCGGTGAAAGAGGTGCTTAGAAGTAGCAATAAATATACTTGTTTCCTAGATCTTGATTTTAAAATGTAATTCTCCACTAAAACTAATCAGAACTCCTTTGAGACATGGATGATTCCAGATCTGGATCAGGAAATGTATAAATTGAGCCTGCATAGAATGAGCATTGGTAAACTTAAGGGCAAGGACGTTAAAGACTTACTAGGTTACGCCAAAAAGAGCCTGCTGCAAGATTCCTACTGATCCAATATGGAACAATTGGAAGATAATAAATAGTGACACTAAGGTATTACAGTATAGTTATTTTTCAAATTCCATAGCCCATAGTATTGAAAGAAAGACAAAGGGAAAGGCCAGGAGGGAGGTAGAATGATATTAAGAGTGATGGGAATAGAGCTGCTCTTCAGAGAAGAATTCTAGATGATTATAGAGAAGAGGTGACAGATTTTTAAAAATCACCTTTTTTTGCAACCTCCAATGTAATAATTACCCCCAGGTGAGAACCATAAGTAATTGCTAAAGTTATTATTTGGAGAAAGATGCTGGGAAACAGGACAGATTCATGGTTTCATAACAGCATCACATAGACCCCTTATTAATTATAAAAGGAAAAGTGTTCTTTTACAACCAGAAATGTGTCACCACATTAAACAAGATATCAAACTTAGCATCAGCCACAAGAATATAATTCCATGTGCAGTGAAAGCCCACGAACTTAATTCTTTGCACTATTCTGTTCACAAACTGAATTGGATGAATCAAATTTCCCCATAAAGTCAACATTGAACCTACCACTGAATTTGATTTGGTTCTCATCCAATTCGGTTTGCAACCAGGATTGTGGAAGGAATTAAGTTCATGAACCAAGGTACCACTATTATATAAATCTTCACGGGTGCAGCATCTATGTAGTATTTGGGTTGAAAACAGCTTGACTTGAGAATAACCACAAGGAAACAATCAAATCTAGAATAGGTTAAAAGATTGAAGAGATGTGAGAACCAAATGCAATGCATGAAACTTATCTGAATTCTGGGAAAGAAATATAAGACCATTTTTGTCCTATTTTTTTGAAAATTGGGGAAATTTAAATATAGATTGTATGTCAAGTGACAGTTATGAATTAATGTTAATTTAATTTAAAAAATGTTAGTGTGTTTAGGGTAAAACACTATGTTTTCAACTTTAGAAAGGTTCAGAAAAAATGACGAGACTGAGACAGAAGGATCACCAAAAGTTTGAGGCCAATCTGGGCTACATAGCGAGTTCCAGATCAGCCTGGACTACATGGTGAGATCCTGTCTCAAAAATAAAACAAAACAATATCAAAGGGGGAAAAAAAGG